GGGAGGGGGGGGGTTAACCCAAATCCGTACCGCTTGCGTATGGGGGGGGGGGTCTACTGACAATGTTACATACGGCATAAGAAACGTGGGGGGGGGGGGGGTTAAAGCCTCGATAATAATTTGTCTACATTGGCCTTCAAATAAGTTAGATAGTCCGGCGGTGGACTATCTGTTTGCTTAAACACGTTAATATTATTAATCCTTTATCGTTTCAGCGTGGATTAAATATCGGCCGTTCTATAGGATTCGGGGGGGGGGGGGTGTCAGGCATACGTACGCATGTGGGGGTGGTTGTGGTGTAAAAAGTCCGCGTGCGTACAGGGAGGTTGGGGAAATGTCAAGTTTTGACAGATTTTTGGCGTACCTACTCAATGGATGGCCCCCATTTATCCGGCCACGCCACCCCCACGTACACCGCGTCAGCCTCCACGGATAGTTGCTCACGGCGATTACCTGTTGAAGGCCACACGGGGAAAAGGCCTTCGCGTGTTGCCCGGCGTTCGAGAATTGTTTCGCAGAAATGCGGCACCAGCAGCAGCCACCACCACCCAGGTTAGATTCGGTCTCATCTCATCCCGATCTCATCCCAATCTCCGGAGCTGAGCGGGGCTCTCCCACGGATCGTGCTGGGATGGGCCGACCGCCAGAGCACAAGCGAAGCTTGCGCGGGCTGCGTGTGTCGGGGCAGCAGAGGTGCATCGCAAAGCGACATCCATTGTTGTCCCGTACTTCTGTGATCCCCACGTCTATGTTGCCACACCTTAAACAAGGCACTGGCCGATCGCGGTGGGATGAGTGGCAAAAGTAACACACGTGACCTGCAAGAGGCGCGGAGAGACTCTGAATCTATCGGTGGATTGACGAAGGGGCTGTACGCGGTGTACATTAGTGCCCCGTCCTGACACCATCGACTCGCCACACTTGACAAGTTGACATCATCACGGGTGGACACACCTATTGGAACTCCTGACTTCGGCGCTGCTCTGCTCAATGCTTTGATTCGGACACTTAGGAGGTCCCCTGCTGCGCTCCCCACCTCAAGCCAAGCAACCACCATGGGATCGGATATTGTTTGTCTTGGTAGTTGTAGACTTCCAGATGAATACTCCCAGAGTTGCACTTGGATTATTATTCGCAGTATACGTGGCAGCGTGCTTTGTAAGTCCGCGCAGCGCATGACTGCACACGCGTGTGCCAAGTGTGTGCGCGCGTACGTGCCTATGTGTATGCGTGTGGCTTTTTATGCCCTGATTTTCCATGGGCATTCGATTCCTCATCACAATTCGCGGGCGCTCTACAGGTCATGGTGAGCACAGCAATGAGGCCAATCCTGTTGTCTTTTTCCCTTTGTGACTTCTCTGCACTGGAGGTGTGTTCACATTCTGGATGAGTTTCAGATTATTGGTTTTTTTTTTCTTTCAGGTATCGGATAGGCTATCTCTCAGCCAAAACAATATTTAGTATTTGAAACAAATATAGATCGTATATGTGTTTTTTTCCCCTCATCGTATAGAATTTCCTATTTTTATGTTCCGACGTTTTGAGTGGCAGATTCGTGGCGGAAAGGCGCCGCGTGTGTCGGCAGCAAAACACAAGAACCTGACTTGACTACCGCGGAGTAAAACGATTGACTTGAAAGGGCAAGCAGGCTTGGGTAGATGTCGGCAGGTGGAGACCAGTGACGATGCAATGGCAGCCAAAGGAAGAGCGAGGGGGGACTGTGCCCGACAAGTCCAACGAGCGCCGAGACGGAGCGATCGGAGAAAGCTCCCGTGACACCGTCCGCTTGCGGCATCGCAAGGGATGGTTACCGCCTTGGGGAGGGCCTTCATCCGGTCCTGGAGCTGAACCCTCTCCTGATGACGATCGATTGTTTTATCAGGTGGAGTTGTCTGCCTGTGTGTATCTATGTGTCACCGCTCCCACCCTCCCCCGCCTGGAGCGGTGGTGTAGCGGTAATCGCGCTGCGCTACGAACCCGACGACCCGAGTTCGATTCCCCGCACCGGTCCTGGGCCTCCCCTAGATCAAGAGACAAAGGCGGCCGGGCATGGTTGCTGGCCAATTCACCCACCCCCTCGTGAGGCGTTCCGGCCTTCACAGGTGCTCGCGAACAGCACTTGCCCCCGACAGTCTGTTAAGACTACACGGGGGTTCTTTGTCTTTGGCACACCCCCCCCCCCTCCCTATTGATAGAGCCCACACGACTGAAGCAGGGCGCCATCGAACCCCGCGATCGCACGCATGTGTCCTCCGGTCAATTAGCCCTGGGATTTCCCTTCTTTATTTAGTTGCCGAGACGGGCGGGCATTTGATAGTCCAGAATGGAGAGCGGGTCTAAGATTTCATGGAAATAAGCCTCGTTGCGTGCGTGCGAGCGTGCGTTTAGTTTTTTAAAATACGTAAGCGGTTTATACAGTGAAAGTCAGAATATTCGACACGTGCCTATGCGCATGCGGCCGGGGTGTTGGAATGCCGGCGACTGTTGTGAGCCTCGTGATGGACTAACGGCAGTTCGACTTCCCCCCCCACGGCCACAGCCACGCCAGTCCCTTGTCAATCAATCCACTAGGTTGGACGAGTGCCTCCCGATGCACGCCGCTTGCGTTGTCGGGGGAAGACTTTGGCCGCCCGCTTAGTCAACGCGGTTGGTGAAGTTGAGGTCGGAGCAGACGCGGGGAGCGCCGAGAGGACGTTGCGGTGCTACAATCGGTGGTAGTTTTTCGCGCACTGCCCCTCTGCTTGTAACGAACGGTCGTTTCTTGATTTGAAGCTTTCGTGGCTGCAGGAATCCATACTCTTTGGTTATTTCGGTAAAGTCACGTAGGTATAAAATAAAATAAATCACGACAACACAAGCGTCCGTCATCAGGTGATGACGGATGCTTTTGTTGCGCTCGAAACGTCGTGATTTATTTTATTTATTTTATACCTACGTGACTTTACCGAAAGAACTAAAGAGAACGGTTTTTTTGCCATTCCATCGCCAGTCGCGGTGCGCAACAGGCAGTGGCAGTGGAAAAATGAAAACGAGTCAGTGGGGTGGGGGGGAAGGGGAAGACTCCCTTGGGTCAACCAAATCTAAAACGAGTATTTATTGCGGCACATCACTAGCAGCAAAGGGCGAGACAAAGGTGGTCACGCGTGTGTGCTACTGGTCACGACACCTCCAGAGTGCGTCATGATTGTAATGTGTTGAACTTCTTTCGCCCCGTACGTAGCCAACCGTGCTAACCGAAGGTACCAGCTTGAACGGGCACTAACGGCTGCTTGGTAAGGCTAACAGCTGGATCTGTATTTGTCTGGGTGTGTTTGTGGCACAATATAAATGGGCGCATCCCAATGATTTCCCTCTATGAGCAAAATAGTCGTCTGTGTTGGTTTATTAGGTCAGTTTCAACGGTACGTGTATATCCACGACTGGTCAATATCGCTCTGGCCACGAGGTAAATCTCGAGTGACCTTTAATGCACACCAGTCACGTGGCTAATGGATGCGTGATGGAGGCCTGCTCGGTGTAAAATACACAGCGCGCACCACCCTCGCAGCACAGTGGCACAGTGGAGTCTGAATGTTCTCTCCGTGTTGATTTGAAGCTTTCGGGGGGTGGGGGGGCAGCCCCCACTCAGCAGCTGGAGATGAGAAATTATTTCTCCAATAAAAAATACTTTTCTATAAATTAAATCATAACCTAAAGCTTTCGTGACTGCAGGAATACATATTCTATGGGTCTTTCGGTAACGCCACGTAGATAGAAAAATAATAAATAATATCACGACGTTTCAATCGGAACACAAGCAATCGTCTTCAGTTGATAATTATCTTATTATCTACGTGGCTTTACCGAAAGACCCATAGAATATGTTTTTTCTAGAAATTGTTTTGTCTTGATATTTTTTGTATAAATATAATGCTTCCTTCACGTGAATTGCCTAATGAAGCTAACATTTATAGTTGTTCGTATGAGAAACCGCTGCAACACCACAGTGTTGATTTGTGCCTCGGGGAGGTCTCGGGCGGCTGCGGAGGCGTCCGAGTGAGAGATTTCCCCTTCGTTCATTGCGATCAGCTTCGCGTTTTAGCCACGCCGTTTGAGACCAATTCGGGGTGGTGAAAAAGGCGCCCGTGGCTGTAATCTGTAATGAGACGACGTCACGACGCGAGGTGGCATTGTGCCAATAGAGCAGGTCACGGCCTACACGCTCTAGGCTTTTTGCAGTGTCAAAGGGGTTGCGTAGTGTGGACTTGAGGGTCATGGGGACAGCATTGGATTGCGTTGTTGTTTGTTTCGTATCGTTCATAATGCCTACCCGTTGGTAGATATGACAGTTGTATCACTTTCACGGGAAGGCCAATACCATGAGGAGGTTTTTCTTAATTAAGACAATATATTTTCAGAGGTCACTCACAACAGCCCCACCTCGTGGAAATGTCACGAACCGCCACTGGTGCCGGGTCTCCTTTAGGTCGACTTGGCCTATAACGAGGAGTTTCCTGTGCAGTGTGTACACACCAGCAGTGGGCAAACAAAGCTGGCCAGGTGTTGTACGAGCCACGCCAAATCACTGTTGGGACATCACCCCTAAGGGCAGACGAATACCCAACTGCAAGTCGATGCTGCGTTCACTCTGTGACCACACAGGCATTGCTGCCACTGGGGTTCTCCTTTTCCTAGACTGCAGCAGGACATCGGAATGGCTAATATGAGACGTACGTTGCTATGAGTTCTGTGAGGCACGGAAGTGCCCAAAAGAGGCAAAACTTTCATTCTAGATTTGAAATTTTCGTGACTGCAAGGATCCATACTCTTTGGTTCTTTCAGTAAAGTCACGTAGATGACTGAAAGAACCAAAGAGTATAGGCAAAACCTTATCCTTAGCACTTAATGCATGCACCGTGCTGGTCCTAAAAGGTGCCCGGTTACAGCCGTTGCTTCAACAGTCTGGTAAACATCTACTTGGAGGGGATAAATTGCGCGCCGTGTGCGTGTGCGCTCTGCAGGTTCACATTGGTGTTCAGCTGCCTGGTGCTGTCTGTCTTCTCCACGGTGCCCCAGTACCAGGATCTCGCCTCCGAGGGCCTGCTCATCCTGGTGGGTACCAACTCGCCCGGCCTGGGGCTCTCGGTTAAACCTCACAACGTCTCCGCGTGTCCTCGGCTCTTTTGCGCCACGTGGCGTGAGCAGAGTAAGCGAAACGTTTCGGGCCCCAAGTAACTCAAGAGGCCCTGGATAATCGGCTAACACTCAGATACCTACACAGCCAAACAAACTCATAATTCTAATGGTTCAGCAGTTCCACTGCTGGATTATATTTTTTCCGCCTGATGATGACCGCTTGTGTTGCAATCTAAATGTCGTGATTAATTTTATTTTATACCTACGTGACTTTATCGAAAGAACCAAAGAGTATGGTTATTAAATACTTTAAAATTTAATTATTTTATTAACCGAATGATTTCACACAACTGTGATGTAGTGAAGCTATGTAGCTTGTACTACACGTCACGTTTGTAGTTTATCTGATACAGCTAGAACCGCCCCGTCCTATCTATCTCCTATGATCGTAACGAGAGGACAGGCGAGATATATAAAAAAACATCCAGGTAGAATTATGATGTTAAGTTGCGTAGTCTTCTTGTCCCCTCTCTTTATTCCATGACTGGTAGAGATGTACGTATGTGTGTTGAACTTCTTTCACACCGTATGTAGCCAACCGCTCTAATCGGAGGTCGCCAAACAGCTTTCCCGGAACCCAAGTGGCTCTTCGTTTCAAAGTTGTTCTTCCAGAGAGAATTCACGTGTCTGAAAAAGTGCCCAGAGACAACGACCTCATCAGCCCACGTGCGGTGGGTCTTGTCGGAGTGGCTGTTGACACCCACCTGTGCGTCTGGTTGTGCGCATGTGGGCGACTGTTGGGGATGTATAGGACAGGTTTTGTACGCGCGTCATGAAATCTGTGGACGTGAATGCGCGTATTTAAAAAAAAATTCTGAAATATGTTTTATTTCACATCCTCCCTCGCAACATCCTGACGTTCTGGACGGCATTATCAGGGACATCGACGATATCAGGCACAGCAGACTCATCAGAGCAGGCGGTGGGCGGGGAAGAGGGATTTTATTTGAGGAAGGGGGGGGGGCAGTCATTGCCATTCTGGGCTCAGATATTGAAGGTTTAGGAATGGACCCCATGCATGTGCTGCATTCTTCTTCTTTGTCTCTGAGCTCATAGCTCAGATGGTCAAGTGCGGAGATTGGGCCTAATTAATGCAACCATTGAGTATGGGGAGAGGGGGTTCGTGATTCGTTCACGTGCTCAATATGCTTTTCTTGGCCGCTATATCGAAAGCCCTAAACGCAATGTTGCGTTCTATGAATGCACGCATTTGTGAAGTTGACGGCAAAAGTGTGTGCGGTGGTGGCTGTTGCACGCACGCCTAAAGACGAGATGTCCAGGAGGTGGCAGAGGCTGTGATGGGGAGAAGAAAAGTGCCAGAGCAGCTGCAAGGCTAGGCTGAGAGATGGAGAAAAGCTGAATTGCACACCGGTGTAAAAAAATAACAATTTGTAAACTTTAAATGTCATACATTCAGACAAGTCGTTATCTGTTAACCCATATCTGATTAGGCTGTTGAAGCTAGATTAACACACTGGGAAAATTTCTCAATGGGTTTGACATTTGTAGCAACACAACATTTTACAGTAGGTCAAAAAGTTATTTACATTGCAGCATCTTACAGATTTTACAGACGCTGTAAAGTATCTTTATTCAAGTCTACGTCTGTTGCTTCGGGTGGGTGAGATACATATTCCACCCGCTCTGACGATAAATACAATTCAACGTGACAATTCATGGAGATTGATTGACGATTGACAAGGGAACGATAGGCTCAAAATCAAAATGCAGAAAAAGCAAAACGTACATTTCTTAGCAACGATATTTTAATAAATAAAATGTGTTTTTTTTCTCGTAAATAATCATCGTACCAAAACATCTTCAAGAAATGTTCTCCAGCACTATCATCATCATCTGTATGCGCTACACTCGTGTCCTGAAGACACGTGCACGTTTACACGCGACAACTGCATACATGGGTCAGTGTGAGAGGCGAACCAAATGGATAGCCGAATGTGATAGCAAACACCACTACAACATATATCTGTCACTATCGAACAAATAAGTGGCAGTGAATATACTGAGACCATTACCCATCGCTGGGGAGGGTTACACGAACGTATTGTTGGCTGTAGAATACCTTACGAGGCACGGGCTCTGCGTTGACCAAACAGCAGAGAACACAGCAGAAGCATTTCCCGAAAAAAAAAAATTTTGGATGAGAGATCACCCAAGACATTGTTTACAGACCGAGGGGCAAATTTTACATCAAATACTGATAGATGTGAAAAACAGGGAACATCTCCAAATCTACGTTTGTTAGATTAAATGGTCTCATGTCGTTAATTCTAATCACAATGACTTGGAACAACACAACTGTCTGCATACAGAACCACCCTTTATTCAGTTGCAATGCTCATGTGTGGGAGAGGTGCCAGGCCGAGTATTGACATTCAGCTTGCTTCGAATGAGCCCATGCTAAAAAACATCGTTAAATGATGAGATCGAATGCCTTAGGGGTGTGAAAGAATGGGCAATTAAAAATACAGCTTTGTGCCAGACACAGAGTGCTATAAATCATGTACAAATGGACGGAAATTAGAATTTAACTATATGGAGCAGAGCTTGGCTGCACTGCCCAGCACTTCTCGCGAGTCAAAGTGGAGCATTCGCACAGCCCTTGAAGGGTCCCGGGCAGAGGCTTCCACGTGGGACATTGTCCGTCGGGACCGATTAAATCTGCAAACAAACCTTCGAGGAAAAATGCCTACAATAAAGAGCTAAAACGTTTCCTGGAGAAAATGAAACGCAACAACAATCGGTGCCTATGGAACAAAGTTTAATTGGAATTCATAAATAATGACGAATCATACATTATGGAGGAAAAAATACATTACATAAAAAAGCAGAATAAAGAAATTAGTAGAGCTTGGGCAGGAATATAGAGCCACCAGAGTGACCTCGTGATTTTGTGACGACGGGTGACAAAGGTTGAACACGTTCAAAATGGACCCCGAGTCGGGGGTCTAAAGAACGGCGAGGGAGTTCATGACGGAGTAGGTCACTAGTGTGTGAAGAATTGAGTTATAAAGCAACATCTAATTTAGTCCCATAATAAACCTCGCACGGACTTTGTGTGAAGAAGTCTCATTGTCCGATGCGAGGTCGGCAGCAGAATTGTTGTTGCGCTAATAACTCGGATGTTGTGGTGGTGCTGGTGGTGGCTGTTCCGTGCGTGTCGCGTAGTTGGCGGTCGCTGTGCTGTGGTTGCGGTGCGCGGTGCGCCTCAGCGATTGTGGAAGCTTGTGCGCATCGGTTAAATCTGTTGATTCATTTTTTTTGTTTATACTAAATTATTTAAATACATCTCTTTTTTTATTTTACCAGGTGAAGCTCACTGAGCTGCGTAGCTCTTTTTCAGATGCGACCTGGCCACAAATGATAGCCAAAACAAAGTGGCTTATCACGTGGAATTTCAAAGCAGCCAAATCCTATAAACGCCACTCCTCTACTGCACACCCACACCTGTTTATTAATCTGTTGTACAAACTTGAACTGTGCCACTCAAGTTCACGTCGCATTTGAAACATTGGGCGTAACTCATACTTTTTTTTTTATTACTAACGAACAATTTTTTTTTATTTTACAAGGTAAAGCCCACTGAGATATGTAGATCTCTTTCAGAAGCGACCTGGCTATCAAAAATAATAATAGCTCAACGAAGTGGATTATCGTGTGGAAATGTATCGCAGCCAAATATTATAAACGTGTGTGCATTTTAAAAGGTGAGGGACAAAACCGGAGAGCCCTGGAGAAGAATCCACGCGGCCACGGTGAGAACATTCAGACTCCAAATATACAGCAGGCGTCAGGGTCGGGATTGAAACCACTAGTTCCTGCATACCAGGCGAGGTAATTAACATCTGGTCACCGTGGCGCCCCAATATATATCTAAAGGAGATGATTTTCTTCCGTGTCAAAAGTTTATTATTTATCATCATAAAGATGTCGTCATCCAGGCGAACATTACACTTACATAATTGTTTGACTTGTAACTCCCTCCTCTACAGTATCACTAATGTGCTCCTCCACAAACTCAAGTTGGTCCAATTGCCAAATGCCCTCATTCTCACCTGGTCATGTTTAATTCGTTTTTGGCTTTCACTGGCTCCCAATACATTCCCACATCTATATATATATTAAAGTCAAAAATTGTGTGTGGGTTTGTGGCGGGGTTTGTGACGGGGTTTGTGTGTGGTCGCGCGCTTGGCTCTCCAACGGTGGAGTTTAAGTAAGAAGAAAAATAGCCAGGTACCATGCCATAAGCCCCGCCATGAGCAAGTGCTATTCCTTTTTCACATCCGTCAACTTTAAATTAGTTTAAATAGCGATTTAGTGCGATTTCTGCGTGCTTTCTTCCTATTTATTTATTTATGACGCGTGCACAACCATACCAACTCACGCCCCTTTGGTGGGGAGGACGGCCCATGCCAAGTCGCACGCCTTCGGTGGGAGTGAGGGGGACGTTTTTTTTCGCGTTAAAAATCCTATAAAAATACATTAAACGCTCAGGTAAATTTTTCACTGTCTCATGGCCCCCCCACCCCGATGCATGCAGTTATTACTACTATACAGTCGGTAGATGCTACCACTATAGGCCATAGATATTACTGCAGAGCGGCCGGGGACATCGTGCGTTAGGGGGGGGGGGGGTGTCAGGGCTAGCAGCCCAGCCCCAGCCTGCCAAGGTGCCACCTCGGCCGGCTGGACAATCTAGGCGAGGCCGGAGGCTCTGCACGGGACTAGGCCTCACCACGCCACTCTGTCAGGTTAGTACTTTGTGCTATAGAATCGATAAATACTGCTATCGAGTCAGCATGTACTACTGTAGTGATAGCAGGTACCACCACAGTCGGTATACACTGCTGTAATCATAGCAGGTACCACAACAGTCAGTATGCACTGCTGTAATCATAGCAGGTACACCACAGTGTGCATTGCTGCAGTGAAAGCAGGTACCACCACAGTATGCACTGCTGTAATCATTGCAGGTACCACCACCATAGCCAGTACGCACTGCTGTTAGATTTTTAAGAGTAGTTTTGAAATATTTTTAAGACCCGGGCAATGCCGGGTACTTCCCGCTAGTTATAAATAATGATCACAGGCGTTCCTATCCCATGTCGGTTCAAGGGTTTGTTTGACCACATGTTATCACACTGGCCAGTGTGGATTGATGAAGCGTCACTCGGAGTCAAGGGCTGTGCTTCAGGACTGTCCCACATTGGACTGTCTGACCCAGAATGTTTTAAGGCGTTTTTTTGTTTAAAGTTTACTATTCAAATCAACCCAGCCAGTTTACCGTTTCAAAATGCGGGCCTGTTCCAACAAAACTCCCTTCAGCTAACCTTCGTCACACCGCGTGGCCGCAAAGTGCACCTTGCCTGGCACAGGTGTCATGGTGCCATTTATTGATGAATGGCGATTGTTATTATAGTTGTGTGTGTGCGCGTGTGGCTCAAGTATTTTTGAAACTGGTGTTGTGTGTGTGCATCATCTGTGGTAAGATTGCCACTCGACTACGTTTGAACAGTGTATTGGATAGTGATTGAAATCTGTACCCAGGAATGTATCACCAGGCCTTCAGACAGAATTTTTTAATAGACTTGTCACATCAACACATAATTCACACTAATGTGAAGGTTTACTGGGTACCTACAACATTTTGCAATCATTGCTGGTCCAGTGGGATATCGCATGTGCGCAGTCATTTAGAGCAAAGCTGAGGCGCTTAGTTAATTAAGTCAATGCATCATCTGAAAATTGTAATCGACCCTCCACTATTGTGGTTGATTGCTCTTCGCCCGTCATCCTTTATAAGGGAGCACTTGCCCCCAACATTATATGTGGGCTTCGTGGGGAGGTCTTTGTCCTATTGTGGTCGCGTAATAAATTTTGGATTTACGATGCGTAAAATAAATGCAACGACATCGTCCAATCGCCGCGATGCTAACAGATAGCCTTCTTGGCTGTGCCCGAGCCCGATCTTGTTTGAACGTCTGGAAGCTCGGCGGGTATTCAAGACCTGCAATAAAGCTGCTGGGACGGAGGAATCGCCGCTGTGCGCGCGTGTGATGGGTTGCGTGCCGTGTTCACGCGACGCGTTGCGACGTGAGATTGCGACGTGAGGTTGCTTTGTGCCGTGTGCTCCAAGCGGCTTCGCTCTCGTTTGTCAGCCAGTCCTGGCTGCTCCTGCGGTCGAACTGAAATCGGTTGGAGCGTAATGCCATTCGAACTGATCGCAACAGCAACGTTTAATGGGCAATGTCATGGGAGCACTCATGGTGATTTAAAATGTACAGGTAGGAACAATTCGGCTAAATTGGTTGTTGATGATTTCTGTGCGAATCCATTTGAGGCCTTGAACTTTCCTATTGAATCTAGATGTGAAGCTTTCGTGACTGCAGGAATCCATACTCTTTGGTTCTTTCGGTAAAGTCACGTAGGTAGAAAATAATTATACGATCAAATATACGTGTAGCAGGCAGCATAGCAAAAGCTACAGCTATGCTGCTTGGTGCACGCGTTTGATCTCATTCAAATTATGTTGCTTGCGTGTTGGTTGTAATGGGAATTCGCATGTTGCTCCGAGCAGCAGGCTTGTTGTGTTGAACTGATCCCACCGTGGTTCATCGTCGACTCTCCAAAGCCTTGGCCTTTTCTGCGTGACTCGATGGCAGAAGACACAATGCAGAGTAGGCATCGGACCCTCTCCAAGTCTGTTCACCGACCCAGTCGATTCGGTGAAGATCCTGGCCAGAGAGTGAGATGCAGGGGTGGGGGGCCTTGGTTACGCATGCGAGGGTGTCAGAGCCATCTTTTGAGGCTGGGTTGCTTGGTGGCCAGCAGAGGGCAGTGCAGAAAAAAAACATTCTATTGTTCAAACGTGCTTCTGTGGTTTGCTTCACAAACGTGTGCAAACCAGCATGGTGAAGTATAGCCAAATAACCCCTCCACTCTATCAAGGTGTGGGGAGATCCTCATCCGGCAGGTTGATTGACAAAAGTGCTGTACAATGTTTATGGATTATCTTGAGAGCAAGTGCACGTGGCACTACTGTGTTGGTGCACTGAGCCAGATTGTGATGACCCTTACATTAGAATCCTCCCAGTCCCCTTTTGTGCCATGAATACAATGGACTCAGCCTTGCAGGTTACCAGAGGAAGGCACAGATATGTTAGAGGATTCCAGTTGGGTCTATAAATACAGACATGTGCTCAAGTCCAGCTTTGTTCATTACACTGCTGGATGAAGCCCCCCCCCCCCTCACTGCCATTGTTCATGGAGGATATTTCACCATGCTGGTCAGTCCATATTCGTGAATGGGTGTGTACCAAGGACCGGTTCAGGTATCACTCGCCATTCATAGAAGTCGTGGCCGGGAACCGACCACCGGTGGCTGGGTCCGTGAAGCACTCTTGCTCACCTCTGCACCATTGCTGCATCCACATTGGATGGATAGGCACGAGGCAATGCATTCACTCACCCACGCAGCCAAAACAGAGCTTTTGCAGTGGCGTAAGATAACCTTGAAGAATGTAACGTGAAAGTCTGAAACATTGCAAATACAAAATGTGAACACAAAGCACTTTGTGTGTGTGCATCTCGATTTTTCGAAAACAAAAAGAGTTAGGATGGCAATGTCTGGCATGTGGAAAGCTGGCGCATGCCGTTTATTTATTGTATCAATCTACTTTCTCAAAATTTAATTTATACAAACTTATACAGTCATTCTATGTCATACAAAAAATGTATGTGCACAAACTAGCTTTGTTAAAATCATATTTAGTAAAATTATTTCAAGATAAGCAACCCACCACTTGAATTGGTAAAAGTAGCAAAATATGCATTGGTATGTGCACGAATACTTAGTGTTTGTGGTTACAAACTATATTTTAGTTTACCAGGTAAGGCACACTGAGCTGTCACTTTTTTTCAGAAGTGGCCTGGCCACAAATGATAGCTCAACATAGTGGCTTATCACGTGGACATTCATAGCAGCCAAATACTCTAAACACACGTTTCTAAACGTGGAGGGAAAAACCGTAGGACCTGGAAAAAATACACGTGACCACGGGGAGACAACATGCAAACTCCAAATACACAGGCATCAGGGTCAGGATCAAACCCACATCTCTATATGTGTGGACACTTGCAGTACATTCACTTCAGAAATGCAAACTTAGAGAGACTGTGGTCGGTTCTCAATTCACCAAATCCATCTCGGTCTCCCCAGCATGGATAGTGACCGCACAATACCAGGTCTTACTTATTTTAGGCTGAACCAACCTTGAAACTTTTTATAATATGTCTAGAAATCTCTTGTTGAGCTTCAGTTCAGTCTGCTAACGACCCGGCCATTTCCCTTCCCCTCGCACACACACACAAAGATCCCCCTGTGTAGCCTTAACAAACCGTTGGGGCAAGTGCTGTTAGCGAGTAGCACCTGTGAAGGCCGGCACGGCACACGAGGGCGTGGGTGGCCAGCACCACGCCCGGCCGCCTTTGTCTTCCCTAGTAGGCGATATTTACACACCGCACCAGGTACTTATTTGAGGCTGAGTCGACCTAGGGGATGCCCAGGACCGGTTCAGATAATCGTCACTGGCGTTGGCCATGAGCGGGAATCGAACTCGGGTGGTCGAGTTCGTAGCGCAGCGTAGCGCTAACCCACGACGCTGCAACGCTGCAAGTCTCAACCGCGTCTCGTTCCCTCCCTGCTTGTCTATCTGCGTGCCCGTGCAGGAGTACATCATGATCGTGGTGTTTGGCATCGAGTACATTGCGCGCATCTGGGCGGCCGGCTGCTGCTGCCGCTACCGGGGCTGGAGGGGCCGTCTCAAGTTCTCCAGGAAGCCCTTCTGCGTGATCGGTGAATGCATCCGCTCCTACCAACTCTCGTGCGTGGCATGGCTTAGGGTTGCCACCTTGCCCCGCTTTTTTTGTGTGTCCTAGAATCATCCTCTCCTTGAGGTAGCTGTCCGAGATCACAGATTCGGATCGTGACGCCGGCTGAGGAATAGTCTATTTTTTTTGCGAAATACGTCACGGGATCTTTAACGTTAATTGTCAGGCAGACGGCGCGTATTGTTATGCTATAGAACCCACAGTGATAACCAGGGCAGCCGCTGGAGTTGAACCATGCACTTAATGAACGCACTGCAGCTAGGCCTGGGGTCGGCAACATATCTATATCTTTCTGAGACACTGACAATCCCAAATGTTGTCAGTCGCTTCGTTAAAACGCCACTCAAGACAATGCATTTTTTCATGTAGGTCTTCCCACATCCTTCCCATTTTTAAATGTAGTTAATTTTTATTTTATTGTAGAAGTGGAAACTCTGTAGCGATGAAACCAAGGTCACTGAATATACTCGAATTGCCACGCTATAATTTTTCATGATACAATAACACATTTCACAGTATTATTCTCGAAATATTAGTTTCCCCCAACTTTATAATTGCATTTCGAATTTTATTGTGTTGTGCGTGTGCTTCACTGTACTTTGTGTATGAGTAAATATGATTTAAATACAATTCACACAAAATAATTCTGCCGTAAGTCTTTTAATCAGTGTAACTTTGCAATCAATTACACCGAGATCGCACGGATGCTGTCAGTTTCACAATAACTAAATGGTTACTGTAACGATGAAAATGTCACATAATAAACATGCCATCAATCCACTCTAAAACACATTTCGAATAAGTAATTGTATTGAGAGCTTTTTAATTTTGTCCATATTTTCCTCCCATATAAAATGAGCCACTATAATCACAATGTATTTTTTCGGTAAATCAGAACGATGAGAAGTGAGTGTGTGAAATGTTTTGGGTGGCTCAGGCGTGTAACCGTTATATATACTGTGCATATATATACTAACCGTTATCCTCGGTGCTGTGTTTCCAGACATCATCGTGCTGATCGCATCGCTGGCCGTGCTGGCGGCTGGGACGCAGGGGAACGTGTTCGCGACGTCGGCGCTGCGCTCGCTGCGCTTCCTGCAGATCCTGCGCATGGTCCGCATGGACCGCAGGGGCGGCACCTGGAAGCTGCTGGGCTCCGTGGTCTACGCGCACAGCAAGGCGAGGGATAGGCCCCCAATTGGCGCAAACGGCCGCAACAACAACAAATGCCACTATGGCGTTGGTTATCGGGGTTTGTGCGCTGTCGAGTTCTCCGATGTGTTTTCGGATTTTACCCGAGTGTTGTTCCGCTCGCCGGAAGTGTCTGCAGGAGTTACCATCACGTGAAAAGCGAAACGTCGGGACGTGTTTCTCCTCTCGTGTTTTTGTACTGTTTGTTGTTGGAACGTTCTTACCCACCCTGACTGGACACCTGTGAAAAAGAGCTTCATAGCTCATCGGATTCCTGTTGCAGTATAAACACATATTCGGATTCTGATTTGCCAAACCGCATGTGGTAACAACTGGAAAGCAAATTGGAGAGCTGCAAGTTCTTGGGAATAGTGGGAACTTACCTTGGCCACGGTCTATGCACGTGCAGTTATCGTATGAATGGGTGGGCAGCCCGTGACGCAATAGGATAGAGAAGAGGTCGTGTCCATCATTTTGGTCGTGGCGAGTTTTGTTGGGCAAATAACCATTCAGTAAAATCGATCACGTCTGACAAGCGGCTGAATGGACTCATTTCAACCGTTGTCTTTGTGCAGGTAGGATATTGTGCATGTAACAGCCCTTATGTCAATCTACTGCTGGATGAGACTACTCTTCACGCTGTGCGGATCGTGGGGTTTTATCAGAATCAAAATCAGAATATTTAGGAATACTGGAGGAATGTCCAGTCAGGGCGGGTAAGAACGTTCCAACAAACAAAACAAAAACATGATAGGAGTGCAAAGTACAGGAAAGTTAAATAAATGACCCAAACAGAGACAAATGAAACTAAACCATCTCCATCCAACCAGGCGAAGCCCACTGAGGTATTAACATATTTTTCAGAAGCGACCTGGCCACCAATGATAGCTCAACAAAATCGCTTATCATTTGGACATCTATAGCAGCAAAACAAATCTCAATAATGAGTGCGGGTTGGCAGAGGTGGGGAGTGTGACAATGAACTTGGCTGTTCTGCCCTCTGCTGGCCAACAGCACGAAACCGCAGTCTAATCGGGCAGTGTGATTTGGCGTAACTCAGGAGTCGGAAAAAAATAAAGCAATATTTCAACAGCCGCATGATTTTCGTAATATTAGTTTCCCACGACTTTATAATTGCATTTCGCATTTTATTGTTTTATGCTGCGCTGTACTTTGTGTATGAGTAAATATGATTTAAATAGAATTCATACGAAATAATCCTGCCATAAGTATTTTAATCAGTGCCACTTTATAATCAATAACACCTGAGATTGCACAGATGCTGTCAATTTCACAAGAACTAAATGGTTACTGTAACGATGAAAATGTCAAATCAACCTGCCATCAATCCACTATAAACACATTTCGAATGAGTAATTTGAATTTAGAGCTTTTTTATTTTATCAAGTATTTTTTATATATGAAATGGGCCACAATAAGCACGTAGTTTTTTTTGGAAAATCGGGAAACGATAAGAAGTGATTGTGTGAAGTTTCTGGGTGGCTCAGGCGTGTAACCGTTATATATACTGTGTATATGAGTAAATATTAGCGATATCGCTCTTTTTCAGAGGTAACCTGGCTATTACAAATGATAACTCAACGAAGTGGCTAATCACGTGGAAATGTATTTGAGCCAAATACTCTGAAAGCACGTTGGTTCTAATTGTGAAGGGAAAAACCAGATGATCCGGAGAAAATCCACGCAACCACGGGGAGAGAGACACACGCAAACTCCAAATATACAGCAAGCATCAGGGTCGGGATCTAACAGACGACCTCCTGTACACCCGGCGAGGTCGTTAACATCTCACCACTGTAGCGCCGAAAATAGTCATTAAACTCGGTGAGGCATTCCTGGGTAAATGAGTGGAAGTTAAACAATCACTTTGCTTCAGTCAAAATAATTAGAATCACTATTTATACTGGAGAAATCCGATGAGCTATAAAGCTCTCTTTGATAGATGTCCAGTAGGGGCGGGTCAGAAAGTTACAACAACAAAGTGTAGGATAGGTCAACAAATCACTGAACAAAAACATTCTGCTGGGTGGCAGGTAAAGCAGAATATACAGATCATCTCGATTATCTGATAAATACTGAAAACATTCTATGTAAGAAATTATAGATTGTCAGTACACTCACTCCGATTAAGAGCCAGGCTACAGTCTACATTAGTGTTTCTTTGTTTTTATTATTTTTCTGTAAAAAAAAAATTGTATTCACTTTATTTTTATTATTATTTTTCTATCTATGTGACTTTACCGAAAGAACCAAAGAATACAAAGAATATAAGAAAATAGTAAAAATATTTTCAAAGCCTAGTTTGCATCAGTTTTGTATTTATACGTGTGCTTGTTTTATGCAAGCCATATATTCCCAACATTACGCCGGATAATTGAGAGCCGACTGTGTTTTTAATTTGTAATGTGACGCTACTGCACAGGGTTTCACGGTTGTACCCTACAGCTGTCTGTTGGGTTGTACTGATTAGCACGGTTGGCTACGCACGGTGTGAAAGAAGTTCAACATGCTTGTGTGTTGTTCGACACTCGGCGCCTCTTCAGTAATTGAATTTCGTTCCTGAAGAAGCTGGGCATATGAAGTCACGCGGCTCTTATGACTGTGCTTGGTGGTGGTGGTGCAGGAGCTGATCACGGCTTGGTACATCGGCTTCCTGGTGCTGGTGTTCTCCTCGTTCCTCGTCTATCTGGCCGAGAAGGACGAGAACCAGAAGGAGTTCGGCACCTACGCCGACGCACTCTGGTGGGGCACGGTGAGATGAGGAACCGATCTGTGTGGAGGTGGCTGCGAAGGCAAAGGCAGAGATCCCCCATGTAGCCTTCAACAGGCTGTCGGGGAAAGTGCCGTCAGGGAGCACCGATACATTAAGGTCGGGACAGAGCACGAGGGGGGGTCTGTGAACGGCACCACGCCCGGCCGCATTTATCTCCAAAACGCTGACGTTACACACTGCACTAGGTACTCATCTTAAGGCTGAGTCGATTTAGGGGGGGCCCAAGACTGCTTCAGATATTTGTGACCAATGTTGGCTGTTGGTCTACATCCTCGTATTCTGTCGTGGCAGCTTGTGCTCCTGAATCCTACATACGTGTCTCATGTGTGTTTGTAAAGTTAAAGGCGTGGTGGGAAGCCCCCGGTCTGCAGGCCGAGAATCCGCCCCACGACTTCATATCACACGGCCAGCAGCCACATCTCACCCACCACATTAAAACTGCCCACAAATTACATTCATGCATCATTACAAGGATGTTAGCTGCATTAATGAGGTACTAGAGGGGAATATTGTTTATCTGGTAATACGGAGTTTAGAACTTTATTGCACTCGGTCATTGATGTCACCACAAGGGGCCTGCAGCAGTAACAGATGCGACCACAGCGGCATGTTAATACATGTCCTTGCGAAAGGTATTCAAGATACCTATCCGACCCTCCTTAATAAAAAGGTTTCCCACCCCTGGACCAAAGCACCTTAATGCGTGTGCGTTTGTGGGCATCACGGTGGTGAGATGTTCGCTACGTCGTCTGGTATGCAGGAGATCGTGGGTTCGATCCCAACCCTGACGCCTGTATATTTGGAGTTTGCATGTTCTCCCTGTGGTCATGTGGATTTTTATCTGGGTCCTCCCATTTTTCCCTCCACATTTAGAAACATGCGTTCAGAGCATTTGGCTGCTATACATTTCCATATGATAGGCAACTTCGTTGAAATGTCATTTGTGGCCAGGTTGCGTCTCTGAAATAGAGCTATATTGATAGCTCAGTGGGCTTTACCAGTGTAAGATAAAAACAAAAGTTTATAGTTTGTTTGTGTTTGCATAGCTGTCGGTCACATCTGTGTGTGTGGGGGGGGGGGGGGGGGCATGCCTGCGTGCAATGTGGATGGCTCCTGCACAGATCACGCTCACCACCATCGGCTACGGGGACAAGTGCCCGGTGACGTGGGTGGGGCGGCTCATGGCGGCCAGTTTCGCGCTGCTCGGGATATCCTTCTTCGCCCTCCCAGCCGTACGGGCCCACACACATGCTGCATGCTGCGCTTCCCAACCATCCACACTGTTGATGATAATGACAACAACTTGCATTTATATAGCTGCCATAATAGTTCAGAGATGTGGACACGGTGGAAGATAGAAGAAAGTGAGAATCACAGAGCAGAAATTAGAATGTTGAGATGGATGTTTGGAATATTAGTAGTGGAAAGGAGGTAGAATGAAGTAGAAACTTAGCGGGGGTTACTCGTGTTTTTGAAGGTATTCGATATGAGACTTAGATGGTTTGGTAAGTGTTGAGAAGAGACAACGAAGATGCAATTAGAAGGTATATGTCGACCAAGACTCGCACAAACTCATATAGAGACCCATAGACTCACACAGATCTACAAAGCTACACAGGGACCCATAGACTAATACAAACATCTGTTGGAAGTGCTATGGAGATGCTACCCCGAGGCAGGACAGAGGAGTAGAGGGAGACTGAGGGTGAGATGGAAGGATACTTTGGAACGAGAGGTGATGTCTAGAGAATGTGTCAAGTGTTTTACATTTTTCAATTTGCTTTCCGATATGTTTACAAACACGTGGCCACTGAGTCTGCTGACCCGCGGTTCGTGAGGATATTGCATTGATTTGTTTTGCAAGCACGGTTAATCCGCAACCCGGATAATTCACCCACGGATAATCTTCAGTGAACTGTATAGTAATCCCTCAGTTAACAGTGACATCGGTTAAGGGTTTTCATGTTAACGTTTCGCCTCCCATAAGACCCCATAGTTTCGACTTAACGTTAACATTCTGAGTAACGGTATGTTTACGTAATGCACGCGGGCACCAATTTGGACCAATCCGAGAAGTCGTTAAGTGAGGCTGAGCCATGCCCTCAGACAATCAGCTACGACCATTTATGAGCGTTTAGACCTCGATTTACTTTGTTTACATTGTTTTGGCAGTGAAACAGTCTCTCTTGCAGACTCAATGATTTTTAAAATATAATTTTTCAACTTATAAGTTAATTTAATTCACAGTTATTTCGGTTAGCAGTAAGTTTTCGTGGAACGAATACATTGTTTTTACTGAGGGACTACTGTCTAAGGGTGGCTCTGAGGATTTGCCCACTAATTCGCATATCTAACCATCCCCTATCTCTCTGCCTTCCCCTGGTCCCTTGTCCAAATGTTCATCGATTCCCCATGCCCTTGGGGGCTGCACGGGCCCCATTCTGCCTCCCCCCTCACCAACCCCAAGGGAATCCTGGGCTCAGGATTTGCCCTCAAGGTGCAAGAGCAGCATCGTCAGAAACACTTTGAGAAGAGACGCAGCCCGGCTGCAGGGCTCATACAGGTAAGAGGTACCCATACAGCCAGACAAAGAGAGCGCGCTCGTACACACACAGACGCGGATGCCGTCACGTGGGGGAAAGAGTCACCGACAGTTGGAAGAACACAACAATGCATCTGTGACAAAAACAAAAAAAGAGTTTGATAATTCGGTGGAAAATAAAAGAACTGCATTGGTAGTGGTGTTCGCTCATTTTCCTCTGCTGTCCACGCAGTCTGGAACTCTCCTACCTCAGTCGTCTGTGCTGTTGTCTTCTTGCCCTGCTGAAATTCAGGCTAGAGACTTTATTACCTCGGCTTAAGGCTAACTGTGTCTCTATAAAATAAAGATGCTAACTGTTACTATGCTACGTCTTGTAATACAGTCGTGTTTCAATGCTATATAAATGCAAAATATATGATGCAAGTACAAAAAATAATCATGAAATAAATCCCAGCACTATTACAATTGAAATGTTGTAATAAAAATTATTATAAGAGGCTACTGTTTGAGTTAACGAACTTTTCAGAGTGAAGGCCTCTAAAAAGGGCTATTGCCCACAACGCGAGCATGCTCTGTTATAAAGCAGTACTAATGATGACTGCGGTGCATTTATTTGGATCTGTGGATATGTAGGGGTGTTACGGAGGGGGTGTTATACAGTTGTGTCGGACGGTAAACAAACACTGGGCGTGGCTATGTCTGTGCGCGGGGAGGTGTTCACAGCGACGTCCGCACCGTTCAGCCTGGGGGGCTGACACTGAGCTGGGATCCCCCGCGGCCCCACCCCTCAACGGGGGAGGGATATATAAAGGGGTGAGCCGGAGGGCTTGGGGCAGTATGTATTAAGCTTAAACCAGTGAAGAAGGAAGATCTACTAGATAGAGCCCTGGGACTCCCCTGGATCGCTGCCCTTCTCAGGGCTGACCAGGACCGAGCCAGTGGCGTGGCCCCGAGAGCCAGAGCCGATGCTCTTGTCAGAGCCGGTCTGGGGTCTCCGGGCGCCGTAATCCCAGCTTAACCAGGGCTGGGTTAGCTAGCCTCCCCTAGCCCGATAGTGGAGGACCTAGAGGTAGGCTAGGTGTAGCCTAGAGCGTGACTTCCCAGTTAGACGGGTGAAGGGGCCGACACCCCTTCCAGTGCTGTACGTCCCGGTCTGTGTTGTACCTTGCACTGAATAAATAAGTGTGCCTCCAACCCCGGCGTCCAAGTCCTCCTGGACATTACTACAGATACATTGTTAAAGATAAAATGTGTAGATTAATGGAATGTAAAAAAAAACATTGGTTGGCGCATGAAGTTTTGGACGCTTTAGGCCTGTGTTGAACAACTATGTAAACAAAAATGGCCGCCAAGCTATTGCCCACCAAGAACTCGCAGAGACAAAAAAAGATAGATGAGTGAGATGAAAGAAAGCTAGACTAGGAGGTAGATTTAGATAAAAGTTACTAAACGTTAATGATCGTATATACAGACGTTATGATGGCGTTTGACATTATAACGCCTCTACGTAACCGCTCTTTTGCACCTCTAACATATGTTGTCACGTGGCCCACTGGTAAATATAGTTGAGAAACCATGCTTTCGGCAATGAGGATGGATGGACATAACATGAGAATTGAGGGTGAGAGTTGTATGAAGAAACTTGATCCAGCACGCGGCTATTGAGCCTGTAATCTGATCATGTGGCTATTCCTTGGCTCTCCCAGGCAGCGTGGCGCCTCCACTCGACGGACGCCAGCCGCCCCCACCTCATCGCCACCTGGAGGTTCTACTACGACTGCATCCCGTCGCTCAGGTATGCAGAGACCTCACTCAATGGACATCGTCGCCACCGCACGATGGCATTTAGCCAGCAGTGACAATCACCATTATCAATCGACATCAGCGTCACTATCGTCACGACCAATGAACAGGCCCTGCAGTATCATCACCAGGAATACCATGATCACCACCATCATCATCAAAGCTGTTAAAATCATAAATATAACCACTATCATATGTATTCATTGTTTGCATGTTCTACCCGTGGTCGCCTGCATCTTCCTCCGGGTCCTCCGGTTTTTTCCCTCCACATTTAAAAACATGCGTTTAGAGTAATTGGCGACTCTCGGTTTTCACATGATAAGCCACTTCGTTCAGCTATCATTTGTGATAGCCAGGTCGCTTCTGAAAAATAGCTATATAGCTCCGTGGGCCGTAGCTGATAAAATAAAATGTTTATACCAGTGTTTTGATCACATTGTTTCATCTCAACTTTAGCCTCCCCAGTTACCGCTTTCTAATTGCTAATCTGTTCAGCAAATATACGTTCAAGTTCTGCATTTGGTGATGATTTATATGTCGTATGTGCTGGATCTATCTGACCCTTGGTGCCACTGGTGGCCGATTTATATTTACCACAATGCTAAAGAGGAATCAATTCTTGAATTGCAACACGTGATACTGTCACCAGGGAGAAATCGTGGATCCTCTGATAAACATCGATGACCTTTAGCCTGTGAAGTACAACGTGAGAGAAAAACCAAAAAATATTCAGCCTGTGAAGTACAACGTGAGAGAAAACAAAAAAATATTCCCGTGGAACCTGGAGCAAGCAAGGAGATGCTCTTCATCCCTTAAATGTTTCCAGCGATTGCCTCCTTCCCTCGTTTTCCCAGGAACATCCTCTTTTTTGTAGGTCGTCATGGTACATTTTCAAGTCTTCCAGGACATTAAAATTCCAACTTTGGTTGGTTGCATAACAATACACCACACTCAAGACAACGCATTTACGTGGAGTTCTCCTTTATCTGGTACGGTGAGATAATCTATTCTGCTCCCCGGTTTGTTGTGCTTCCGAGCTGGCAACTTTTATTGTTTTCAAATGTAGCCTACTGAGGCTAATGGTGACATGGACATCCCCTTCACCCTCTGACATTTGACCCCACTTTGCCCCCGCTCCCACACAGCAAGCTGCACAGGTTCTTTCGCTCGCACGCAGGTCGTCGATATAGGTAGAGCCTGCTGTGCAGTGCTGGTTTCTTTGTTGTGTTGACGCGATTGAGCATGGCGTGGTTGTGTACTATGTGCCATCCATTTTGTGTCATCCATTGTGAAACCACGGTCATGCCAAGCAGTTATTTCCCTTGCCTGACGTAGAAAGAGTACTAATACCTAAATACAACTGTCAATGAAAAGTTTTCAAGAATTTCAATGTTCGACAGTCTTTAATCAAGGTTAGGACCGGATGAGATGCAGACGTCTGGTTTTCCACATTCAAACTAATCCATGTACAAACTAATTTCGCCTTGCTGTGGAGCACTATGGGTAAACAAATAGAAGAATAAGTGCACTTTGTGTCTCCACATACAAAAACAACTTTTAGTCCATCAGGCAATTGGTTTTCAAGACTAATATTATATAATCGCATTTGTTTAAGAAATAAAAGTCTGCTGCCTGATAATATTGGTCTGGAGAGCTATTAGGCTGGTAGACTAAACGTGTTTTAATTTATATTATGTGGAGACACTGAATCGAGTTTAGCTTATATGTGCATGAGTGTGGTTGACCGAACCAGGCTTAAGAGTCTACTGTACTTGATTCTTGTTTTCTCCCTCAAAACAATAATTCTACTGAGTGTGCGTTCACTTTACTTTAGCTTCGCGTTTCACCAGGGACTTCTCAAATGCCATTTCCTCCTCAAAGCAATTCCGCAGGCCACTGATCCATCTCCTCCAATGTCTCTCCCTTCAAATGCAAATGAGGTCGTCACTGGGAAAGAGGAAAAAAACCTGCGACGTGGAGAGGGTGCAATGGATGGATTTTGAGAAACCCCCGTTCGGCGTTCTATTATATGGGGAGGACCTCTTTTTGAGCTGCCAACTCTGGCTGGGATTTCCTGTTTCAAGTGATGTGCACCGGTGGTCACGTCGAACCATTTTAACACAGAGGCCATGACTTCTTCAGAGGCTCCTTCCTGCAGCAGCCACATGGTGGCCCTAGGGGGTGGAGGGGGCATCCCCCCTCCATTTTGTTTTAATCCTCGTGTGATGTCAAGACAGGGATGTTTACAAGAGACAAAGATGCGGTGAGATGAGAGAGCTGCAGACAAAACTCGTCGAGAAGGAGGTTGGCTATTCAAATCCCATCATCCCCAGCGGCAGTGGAGACCACAGGAGCCAGTTTGCTGCCTCTCCGTACGTGCCGCCTTCTCCCGAGCAGCCGCTGTCGCACGTCGAGTCGAGAGATGCGAGAAGGGAGGTGCAGACAAGAGAGAATTGGGAGATTGATCGGATTATTATGCTTAATTAGATTGCTGTTTTATCAGCATTTTTATTTTAAGCGATATTTTATACACTCATATATTTCGAGTAATCCAGGGCCCCTTAAGTGGACGTGTATGGAGCTTCACTTACCCAGCGGCAGACACTCACCAGATAGAGCACGACACACAGACACTCACCAGTTAGAGCACGACACACAGACACTCACCAGTTAGAGCACGACACACAGACACTCACCAGATAGAGCACGACACACAGACACTCACCAGATAGAGCACGACGCACAGACACTCACCAGTTAGAGCACGACACACAGACACTCACCAGATAGAGCACGACACACAGACACTCACCAGTTATAGCACGACACACAGACACTCACCAGTTAGAGCACGACACACAGACACTCACCAGATAGAGCACGACACACAGACACTCACCAGATGGAGCACGACACACAGACACACACCAGTTAGAGCACGACACACAGACACTCACCAGTTATAGCACAACACACAGACACTCACCAGATAGAGCACGACACACAGACACTCAGCAGATAGAGCACGACACACAGACACTCACCAGATAGAGCACGACACACAGACACTCACCAGATGGAGCACGACACACAGACACTCACCAGTTAGAGCACGACACACAGACACTCAGCAGTTAGAGCACGACACACAGACACTCACCAGATAGAGCACGACACACAGACACTCACCAGTTAGAGCACGACACACAGACACTCACCAGATAGAGCACGACACACAGACACTCACCAGATAGAGCACGACACACAGACACTCACCAGATAGAGCACGACACACACACACTCACCAGTTATAGCACGACACACAGACACTCACCAGATAGAGCACGACACACAGACACTCAGCAGATAGAGCACGACACACAGACACTCACCAGATAGAGCACGACACACAGACACTCACCAGATGGAGCACGACACACAGACACTCACCAGACAGAGCACGACACACAGACACTCACCAGATAGAGCACGACACACAGACACTCACCAGTTAGAGCACGACACACAGACACTCACCAGTTAGAGCACGACACACAGACACTCACCAGATAGAGCACGACACACAGATACTCACCAGATAGAGCACGACACACAGACATGGTAATCGATCAAGTAATCGATTACCGTGGAATTTCGTGAGGTAATCTCAAGTAATCGATTACCGTGGAATTTCGTGAGTTAATCTCACGTAATCGATTAATGTGGAATTTGGTCAGGTAATCTGAATTAATCGATTACCGTGGAATTTGGTGAGGTAATCTCAAGTAATCGATTACCGTGGAATTTCGTGAGGTAATCTCAAGTAATCGATTACCCTGGAATTTCGTGAGTTAATTTCACGTAATCGATTAATGTGGAATTTGGTCAGGTAATCTGAATTAATCGATTACCGTGGAATTTGGTGAGGTAATCTCAAGTAATCGATTACCGTGGAATTTCGTGAGGTAATCTCAAGTAATCGATTACCGTGGAATTTGGTGAGGTAATCTCAAGTAATCGATTACTGTGGAATTTCGTGAGGTAATCTCAAGTAATTGATTACTGTGGAGTTTCGTGAGGTAATCTTAGGTATTCGATTACCGTGGAATTTCGTGAGGTAATCTCAAGTAATCGATTACCATGGAATTTCGTTAGGTAATCTTAAGTAATCTATTACTGTGGAATTTGGTGAGCTAATCTCAAGTAATCGATTACCGTGGAATTTTTTTTATTACGCCCATGCCAACCGGGCAACTCGCGGCACTGTGCGTGTTTTGTGGCCGGCGACGTGTCCTGCCCAGCCCACTTCGAGACAAGGGAGATTCCCTGTCTCTCCGTGCCTGTCTTCGTCCCTTTTCTCTTTTTATTTCCCCCACGATGACTTTGTGTGCATCTCTCCACGTCTCTGTCTCTGTCTCCACGTCTCTGTCTCTGTGTCTCCTGTCTCCTGTCTCTGTCTCCACGTCTCTGTGTCTGTCTCTGTCTCCACGTGTCTGTCTCCACGTCTCTCTGTGGTGAGTGGCGACGTGGCGGTCAGCGACGCCGCTCTACGAACCCCGTGGCCCGAGTTAGAATCCCGCTCACGGTCAACACCCGGTGACGATCGTCTGATCCGGTCCTGGGGCCTCCCCCCTAGGTCGACTCAGCTTCAAATGAGTACCCGGTGCACCGTGCCGGCCGTCACAGGTGCTGCTACCCGCTGACAGCACTTGCCCCAACAGTCTGGTGAAGCTACGGGGGGGGGGGGGGGGGTCTTTGTCTCCCTGTCTGTTGCTGTGTCTTGTATATTTGTGTCTGTGGTCACTCGTTCATTTTTATTTTTTCTATATTTGAATAGCTCCCGGGCAGGTATTCGGAGTAATTTGCTGTTCAAAACTCCTCTTATTTGTGAAAGAATCTAAAAAAAAGTATTAGGAAGTCCCTCCGCTACGCTTAATGGGTACAATCGCGAATAACTGCAAATAGGAAGAAATAGGGCCACAGAAAATAGGAGTTTTCGATAATAGGGTTACGGATAAGAGGAGTTTTGTACCATATATTTGCATCACCTATAAGTAGATCAACCAGCATGAGCCCGACTTTATCGGATCTCAGAAGCTAAGCTGGTTTGCAACTGGAAGGTGCTTGCTAGGGACACCACCACAGCTGGTGAGAGGCTGCAGGGCAAGGTTCCAGGCGATATAGCTATTGCTGTACTGTAGTCATATGCTCCAACATCGATGCATTCCACCTTAAACCTGTACTGATGTGTGAAGTATGGTCAAATAACCCCCCACAATTCGCATGGTGTCAGCCCTAATTCAGCAGTGGATTCACAAAGGGCTGCACGTTTATATAGTTGTACCATTTTTGTTTGCATACAGCGCTTTTATAGTTTTTTTCATGACGAATTTTTTTTGTCGTGAATTGTATTGCACCTTAGAAGACATCATCCACCCTTCGAAAGCCTATAAGGTCTCTCTAGGAAAAAAAAACACTCGGCTCATTTAACGCTCACCTTGCTCCGAATAAAGAATCAACTCCTTAATCCTGGAAAGTTGTCAAACGAACCTTGTAAAGTTTATTTCTGCCTCTAGATGGACCTTCTAAAAATCCTCAAAGTCACTAGACAATTGACCAAGTATTACATACACATCGTCAACTGACACAGAATGCTTAGTACAAACGTGGAATCACTCGCAAATACGCAAAATGTTCTCGTCATAGAAATGTGCTCAGGGGTCAGCAACCTGCGGCTCCAGAGCTGCATGCGGCTCTTCAAGGACTGCTTCACGACGTTGTTTATTCAGGACCACCGTCTCTCGTTTTTAATACCGAATTTGGAACAAAAAATGTCTCTTCTTGTTATTTTGGTCTAACTACACACTCACCGAGCTGGAAACACCGCTTACCTGAAACTGGAAAACCAGTCTTCGCCCTACGTTTGTCGTATTATTAAAACTTCGCAAAAAAAAAGAAACCACGCCAACGTATGAAACCTACCCTTATTTCCCCGTGCGTGACTCCTCCTGCCCCGGGCACCCAGCCAGAAGGTCGGACTCCGAGAGCGCCTCTCCAGCCCCGTCACGCAGCTCATGCGCAGCCGCCCGGGGGGGGCACAGGGCCCCCCACGCCGCACTCACAGCGCCGACTCCTCCGTGCAGGGACTGGGGGGCCCTCCCAACCCGCCCCTCGGCACGCCGGCGCACAGCGACGTGGTCAACAACAATCCCCTCCGCGCCACCACCAAGGGCCGCAGCCACAGCTTGGGGCTGGGCGAGCGAGCGCGGAGGCGGACGAGCCTGCGGCTGGGACGCGCGCCCGGGGCACGCTCCGCGCATGGTGAGGGCTGAGTGGGTGGGGGCCTTGCTCACCCTCTTTGAGTGCTGACCGGAACATACTGCCACACAAAGACAAAGACCCCCCCCCCCCCCCCCCGTATAGCCTTAACGTGCTGTTGGGGAACGTGCTGTTAGTGAGCACCTAATGAAACCGGCACGGCACACAGAAGCTGTTTGGGCTGTGTGGTGGCTTGACATGCAGCTACATGACCCAGCCAAAGTAGCCATCGCCTGCGAGAGGAGGTCATTGATCGGAATGTGTCCAGATCTTTAAAAGGATTTGGAAGCCTCTTGCACAAGTCAGCCTGGTTAAACCCAGGATGCCTAAATTTTTAAAGCCGATGCAGGCATTACTTCAGAAAGGTACATTTTTGCAAGCACCCTCCCTAACACACATCTTTGTAAACACATCCACACACCACTTAGGAAATGCAACGTTTTCCAGTTTAGCTTTACGGACTGTTGCCGATTGCTGGTAGTGAGCACATGGATGTCAGTGAATTGAATGTGGGTTACTCAGGTTGTAGCTCAATGCATTGACCCAAGCATTAATCGCTGCGTGGTTTGAATGCGCCCGCCCACCACCACTCGAAAGCTCAGTGTCTTCACACCTTTGGCTTGTGGAATCTGCTGCAGTCGCAATGCCTGCACACTGATAGCTACAATACTGCTTCACATCACCGACACGCACACAACAACAACAACCGCCATTCTCCACTAAGTAACTGTGATGTCACCACGACGCTTGTGCCAAGCTATATGCACTTTAAGGCCACGTGAAGTGTCGAACGCCTGCTGCCAGGAGATCAGGGAACAGACTCGGATGCCATGGGTTGACTGAGATGACTCGCCGATGCAGGGTGCGGGTTCAGCCTCCTGGCTCCGACAAATTGGGTTTGGCCAGGAGACGACATAGATGCCTGTCCCCCCGGGGGCTTCCGGCATAAGCTTACATGTTTTCCACATAGTTAAGTGGTAATTACATTTAAGGTTGAGGGGTTACCAACCCCTTGCACCCATCCACATCCCCCATTGGCCACACTTGCACACAAATGCACACCTTACACCATGTTAAGGCCTACGTGGTCCAAACTTACCTCGTTCCCGACTTGCCGCATGTTTTTGTGTGAATTTGGGCTGCCCCATCTATTCAGAGACTGGAGTGTTTCTGGAAGGCGGCTCTGAGGAATCGGGCTGCTTCTTGGATGAGGCCCCTCAGGACTTCGAGCCCTCAGTGAAGGCCGTCATTCGTGCCATCAGGTGCGTGCAATGAAGGGTTCGTACGAGCAGTTACAATATCATACGTGTGGGAAATCTTTTCCTGACTAAAGACTGCAATAGGGCTATACAATTACCTTTTGGCGGAACACGCGGTTACTTCTCTCACTTCAAGAGACGCTTACAGACTCTGAGAAACATTTGGGGGTATTTCCAGTTTGACCCGGCAGCATCAACAGCGAACTTCTCAAATCTTGCTATTCATTGCTTGTATCATGTTCTCAAAAAGGTTGCCCCAGTGTTGTGAAGATTTTGAGAAAATTGGGATCTTGTCCCAGTTTAAATGTTCTGGTGTCCCAAGCTCAATGAAAGATACAGCCAAAATGCGGGGCTACCTGAGGAGTGGGCAGGATCGGTCGAAGATTTCATGGGGCCAATATAACAAAAATTGATGCCATGCACAATGTACAACCTGATGGTGCTGCTCCAGCTGCTGCTGCTGGGTGGGCATGGCTATATACATGCGGGGAATTTGATGGAGAAACGGTGTCACTAGGTCACCATGCAGCCAAATTGAGCCTTCCAAAAATGTGAAAACTTAAAGCCACGATATTTTGTTGTTGTAAGCAGCGCGAAGGAAACATTTCATGCTTTTGGCCCACTCCCAAAATAGTACCATCTATATTTTTCAACATTTAACTTCTGAAATGTGAATCATTTAATTTAATTATTCAGTTTAACACGTAGGCTTTCACGACCAATATTATCCATAATGGAGGTTTTTGGGTTATATCGCGTAAATTTAAATGTGTCGTTATATTCACCACCACCTGACAGTCAATTAGTAAAGTTTGTAACGTAAACAAAACATGCCAATTCGTTACTAGTTCAGAACACCGATGTGTTGGAGAGTAAACGCACATTTACCATTTGAGTATGACGTTTTGCCGGTAATTACAAGCAGCCTCATCAGGCGACAGCCATAGTTGTGGAGAAATCTTTCGGTTAAATAACTACAAGATTTTGAATAATTTCATTCTTTAGCCTATTGATGCTTTAAACCTTCAGGATACCGCCATAAATAATGATACAGGAAACCTCACCGAACGCGGTGAAGGCCGTCATTCGTGCCATCAGGTGCGTGCAATGAAGGGTTCGTACGAGCAGTTACAATATAATACGTGTGGGAAACCTTTTCCTGACCAAAGACTGAAATAGGGCTATACAATTACCTTTTGGTGGAACACGCGGTTACTTCTCTCACTTCAAGAGACGCTTACAGACTCTGAGAAACGTTTTGGGTTATTTTCAGTTTGACCCGGCAGCATCAACAGCAAACTTCTCAAATCTTGCTATTCATTGCTTGTATCATGTTCTCACAGCAGTGTTACCGGTCCCCACCCATGCCCCAAGGCATGAGAATTTAAACTTTTTATAAAGCGAACATTTTTATGCACCATAATCTCTCCGACTGATCTCATACCTCTTTCCCTATTCAGCCCCTTTATGGAGGCCGCTGGGTCCACGAACCTCTGGCATCAGCAGCAGTCCTCCACTGTTGGCAATCATAAACCACCTCTTGCTGAGGTTTCCATAGTCATCCTTCTCTATTTTCGTGCCTCCTCCTCCCCTATGTCACTACGTATTTTTCTCGGTCGTCCTCTGCTACTTTCTCCTTCTATGAGCTTTGCCATTGCCTTTGCTGGATTGCCATTTGGTGGCGTTCTTCTGACAAGACAATAGCAGTCTGAATTCCTCAATTCTTTCTATTATTGTTCAGTCCATCATCAAAGTTCATTCTCATTTCTGAATTTATTATTTCAAATAGCCATGTTCTTCTGATTATCTTACCCCACCGCTAGTCAATCTCCAGCGAACCGAAGGCCACTCTTCACTTACGACCCATCCTCCAAAATAAAACTAAAAATTTGCAAAAAAGTAAGCCCCAAAAAATTAGTGTTACTTTTTTAAAAATAATTTTATCGTTTCGATAACGTATTGACATTCATTCAGGCGCATATCATAATTGTTGTTTAGCATTTTATTTTTATTTGTTATACATGTAGACCAACGTGGAATCGAAGCCAGCATCCCTCATTATGGTGAAACGATTCATCCGTATCCCGTAACCATTTGCAAGCATAATCCCGTACCGCAGTGCAGTTCTCAATATGTTGCTCATGTGGGCCATCCTTCACAGGCCTGAACAGATGAAAATGTAAGGGTGCTAGATTTGGTCTACATGATGAATGGGGCAGCACAGTCCAGCCAAACTGTGCAATTGACCTCTGATGTTCTTAGGATCGTTTGTGGTCTGGCATTGTCATGTTGGAAGATGACTTAACTTGCCATTTGGTGCACAGACACTGTGGTCGCAAAAAGCATGCAATATAGTCCCTCAGTGATTCAATGAAGATATGGTGTGTATAGCTCTCTGATGTGTTCTTGGGTTGCACCATGTATTGTTTGGCATGTCTGACATTTTGCTTCTATGGATCTTATTCAGGAACTGAATTGAGCAGCTCACTTCCTCCCTCAACATCGGATATATCGTGCTGTAAAAACACGCAGTAAAACCAGAAAACACATTGGAAAGCTATACAGCACAATAGTGAACCTTCTTGGTCAGTGTGTGTGTGTCCGTGTGTGTGGTGGGAGTGTGACACAAGACGACCCTTTCCTCCTTGCCACTAATCCCCCCCCCCCCATCAGAGCAATGCACTTTCTTGTCGCCAAGAAGAAGTTTAAAGAGACGCTGCGACCATATGACGTGAAGGACGTCATCGAGCAGTACTCGGCCGGACACCTTGACATGCTCAGCCGCATCAAGAGCCTACAGGGAAGGTTTGCCACCGCCCTCCCCATACAACCAGCGCTGGTCTGGGAGGAACAGGAGGAGCAGGGAGAGTCGGGGACATAGCCACTGTGAGGGTTTCGTGGGTGATCAGACACTCCCAATAATTTTAATATATCACCGAGAGACGCTACGCACATTTTTCGACGAAAAATCGCGGTCTTTATGAGTCTTTCATTCATCACCTTCGAATACACAGTTACGCAAAAAACAGTAGACTCGGTACCGGTTCAGTTGCCCGCGGTTGAGTAGAATCCTGTCTGTAATCCAACAAATAATCACCAGGGACCATTTTCTAGTCAGACACCCCCAACTTCCATAGTGTGGGGGGAAGTATAGCTTCATTGATGAGTGTAAATGAAGTGGGGAGTGGCTTCAACAGACCGTTCTTTACTCGGTATGTGAACTGCCCAGTGAGTGCGTAAGCGTGATCACCGTTGAGCCAGCTTGCATGGGAGTGCCTGTCGAGGCCCTCGCAAGTCCATTAAGAAACGACAATGAACCACAGGTGTCCAGTGCTTCACCTCCACCAGCCCAAATACAATCAATGAATTGAGAAAATGTATTCTACTCCAGTGTCAGCAGAGGGTAGCACAGCAGAATGCATATACTCTACAATGTAGTTTAATGATCCCAACATTTAAGTTCCCTCATGCCTTCACTAATCTACACTGACCCAGTAAGGTGAGGTATGGTCACATTACCCCCATGAATCCTTTGGAATGGGGAGGTGTTCGTTTTTGCAGTGAAATGACAAAAGGGCCATAACCTTGCACATGCCATTACATGTTTTTTTACATGGTGAATAAAAGAGCCTACTGTGGCTGTAGGGGTCACGAGGGGCCATTAGATACCACAAATATCCACGGAAACACAATACGCGCACGATCTGATGCAAGTGTCACACAAGCTTAAGAACAGGAATGAATCAATTAATCGTTAACACCCTTAATTAACAGAGTACGGTATAGAAAACTGGGATTGGAAAACATCCGAATGTAACCGTATCACAGGACTGAGGCATGAGATATGGTCCCAGGAGCTGTGCCTACAGTTAGGCTGATAGTAAGGCACTATGGTAGCCAAGGAATGAAAGCATCCACGAGGTCGTCCACCGAATGGAGTGATCCAAATCGGCCCGATCTGAGGGGCCAAGTGGATTACTACATTGTAGGATTGTGAGAGGTGGCAGTAGCTTGGAGAGGCCTTCAACTAGCGGTATTTTGACCATGGCTGATGACAATGCTGAGTGTGCATAACAGGCAGTGTGTTCGGGACAGGTGGAGTGCACAGTTAATACATTTGTACAAGGCATGTTTGCAGAAAGTATCACGGTTGAACAAAAACAAAGTAGATCCAAAATAATCAAGGGGGCACATGCATGAAAGCATTACAGATGAGGAGATAAAGTGATGAACTCTGGATGATAAAATATATCATTGGTGGGATGGAAAGAGATTGCAGCTTCTAACAACCAGATCCTCTGCCTCAAACGGCCTTCATCCAGCCCTCAGTCGAAAAACGGCTGACGAGGGTGAATAGGCAAATTTGATTAAATAAATATTCAAGCTAAAGCAAATACTGATACATATATTCAGTTTCCAGAAGTGGCTAACGACAAGAGTAGCCTGCCTCAAATGGATGCTTTGACAGTATGCGTCGGCGCGTACCGCTCCGATAACTAATCGGGAGCTGTCTGCCTCTCATGTACTCAAGGGTGGAGCAGATTGTGGGCATGCGTGGGCAGAGCCAAGGGGAGAAGCGGCCGTGGAAGGAGAAGGGGTCCAGCCTGGATGGAGGGGAGCCGCCTGACGACATCAGTCTCCTGGGCCGCGTGGCACGTGTCGAGAAGCAGGTGCGGGGCGAGAGGTGAACGTTGTTATCGATTAACATTTCTAACGAGTCCATTAATCAATTATCCATTGCACTTTTCAATGACAACAGTGTCAGCCATTTTAAAGCTGCCGAATGTCCTGGTTTGGCCCAGACATTCCGAGCCTCAAAAAGGTTGCCCCAGTGTTGTGAAGCTTTTGAGAAAATTGGGATCTTGTCCCAGTTTAAATGTTCTGGTGTCCCAAGCTCAATAAAAGATACAGCCAAAATGCGGGGCTACCTGAGGAGTGGGCAGGGTCGGTCGAGGATTTCATGGGGCCAATATAACAAAAATTGATGCCATGAACTATGTAAAACCTGATGGTGCTGCTCCAGCTGCTGCTGCTGGGTGGACATGGCTATATACATGCGGGGAATTTGATGGAAAAACGGTGTCATGAGGTCACCATGCAGCCAAATTGAGCCTTCCAAAAATGTGAAAACTTAAAGCCACAATATTTTGTTGTTGTAAGCAGCGCGAAGGAAACATTTAATGCTTTTGGTCCACTCCCAAAATAGTACCATCTATATTTTTCAACATGTAACTTCTCAAATGTGAATCATTTAATTTAATTATTCAGTCACGTATAAAGATAAATAATACATTAAATACTAGCATACGACGTTTCGATTGCAACACAAGCAATCATCATCAGGTATAAATGAAATAGAAACACAAATCTAGTATACTTTTAAATGGAATGTAATACAACAGAGAGTCGGATAACATAACAGTCAACACCCTACCTGGTTGATTACATTCTTCCTGAGAATGCTAAATTTGAGAGAGAGATAAAGCACAGAACCAGAAACATATAGACAGACATATAAGCAGACAGATATCACAGAGATACATAGAGAGAGAACAAAACATAGGCACACAGAGAAAGCCATGTCTCTGTGTCGAGGCCTTAAATAGAGAGAGGGGGCGGGAGCGGAGAGAGAGGGAGGGGCTAGAGAAAATTAGCATGTCAATGAAAAGCACGACGCGGTGCGAAAGCTTGAAAACTAGGAGACAGGGAGAGAGACACACTAAATTTAATAACCTAGCAAAATATCGAAATGTAATGTAATGCAACACAGAGAGTCGGTCAACACACAATTAACGCATAGCCTGGTTGATCACGTATTTCAAAGATTGCTAAGTTAGAATTTAAGTGTGAAATTTTAAAGAGAGACAAGACACAAACATGAGGAACAGACAAAGGCAGAGAGGGAGAGGGACAACAGCCGAGACACACAGAGAGAGCAGAACATAAGAACGATAAAACGTGTGGAGACAGAGAAAGTACACTAAATCAAATAAACCTAGCAAAATTTAGAAATGTAACGCAATGCAACACAGAGGGTCGGTCAACACACAATTAACGCATAGCCTGGTTGATTACGTTTTACCAAAAAATTGCTAAATTAGAAGTTAAGTGTGAAATTTGAAAGACACAAACACGAAGCTCGATAGACCAGCAGAGAGAGACAACAAAAAACCCAGAGAGAGAAAAAGACAAACTTGAAACTTCCTTGCTGGTCTATCGATCTTCGTGTTTGTGTCTTTCAAATTTCACACTTAACTTCTAATTTAGCAATTTTTGGTAAAACGTAATCAACCAGGCTATGCGTTGTGTGTTGACCGACCCTCTGTGTTGCATTGCGTTACATTTCGAAATTTTGCTAGGTCTATTTGATTTAGTGTACTTTCTCTGTCTCCACTCGTTTTATCGTTCTTATGTTCTGCTCTGTGTCTCAGCTGTTGTCCCTCTCCCTCTCTGCCTTTGTCTGTTCCTCATGTTTGTGTCTTGTCTCTCTTTAAAATTTCACACTTAAATTCTAACTTAGCAATCTTTGAAATACGTGATCAACCAGGCTATGCGTTAATTGTGTGTTGACCGACTCTGTGTTGCATTACATTACATTTCGATATTTTGCTAGGTTATTAAATTTAGTGTGTCTCTCTCCCTGTATCCTAGTTTTCAAGCTTTCGCACCGCATCGTGCTTTTCATTGACATGCTAATTTTCTCTAGCCCCTCCCTCTCTCTCCGCCCCCGCCCCCTCTCTCTATTTAAGGCCTCGACACAGAGACATGGCTTTCTCTGTGTGCCTATGTTTTGTTATCTCTCTATGTATCTCCGTGATATCTGTCTGCTTATATGTCTGTCTATATGTTTCTGGTTCTGTGCTTTATCTCTCTCTCAAATTTATCATTCTCAGGAAGAATGTAATCAACCAGGTAGGGTGTTGACTGTTATGTTATCCGACTCTCTGTTGTATTACATTCCATTTCTAAGTATACTAGATTTGTGTTTCTATTTCATTCATACCTGAGGATGATTGCTTGTGTTGCAATCGAAACGTCGTATGCTAGTATTTAATTTATTATTTTATCTTTATACGTGACTTTACCGAAAGAACCAAAGAGTAATTCCTGCAGTCATGAAAGCTCCAAAGTAAGATTCATTATTCAGTTTAATACGTAGGCTTTCGCAACCAATATTATCCATAATGGAGGTTTTTGGATTATATCGCGTAAATATAAATGTGTCGTTATATCCACCACCACCTGACAGTCAATTAGTAAGGTTTGTAACGTAAACAAAACATGCCAATTCGTTACTAGTTCAGAACACCGATGTGTTGGAGAGTAAACCCACAACATTTACCATTTGAGTACGACGTTTTGCCGGTAATTACAAGCAGTCTCATCAGGCGACAGCCATAGTTGTGGAGAAATATTTCGGTTAAATAACAAGATTTTGAATAATTTCATTATTTAGCCTATTGATGATTTAAACCTTCAGAATACCGCCATAAATAATGATACAGGAAAACCTCACCGAACGCAGTTTTATCAAACACGTGGTTAAGCTGTGCACGGTTTACTTGAAGTGCTTTCTGGAACACGTGGGTGAGGTTTCGGCTGTACGTGGTTTGACGTTGCTAATGTAAAGGAGAGCCGACACAAGGTTGCAGGGGGTTCGTCTTTTAATCCTTGTCTCCCATCCACACCTGTCCCCAGCCATCCCAATCTCGTTCCCGCCAAAGGCCCCTTCTTCCTGGCCGTTCTCCCCTTATATCTCCTCGATTACCCCTCCCACTAACCCTCCTATTGGTGGGAATCCTTCCCCTGACACCCCTACACTAACATAGTTGTTAGATAGGCTTGCAAGAAGTGAGAGTGCTGCATCCGTTGGAAGGTACTATGGTGTGATTTAATCGACTGTCAGAAAGATGTATTTGCCATGGATGTTTTTTTGTGGTGATGTAACAAATACTGTACTCAACATGCTCATGCGCAACGAAGATGTGCACACACTGCCGCATGCATCTAGTTGTCCACTCATCTAGGACGTCAGTCATACGGACGCCTAGATGGCCTATCATTAACGTTCAAGTGATATTGTGTATGGGTGGACAAGCGTTGGGTGCAGGTGCCATGGTGTGGGAAGAGTAATGGAGAGGGGAGTTTGTGTTTAGCTGAAATTGAAAGAGTGTACACACACAAGAAATGGAAAGTAATATCAGCATCATTTATTGCAAAAATAAGAGCAGAAACTGCGTAGAATTCTAGAAACAAAGAGGAAAGTAGTAATCATTTTTTACCCAGAAATGCAACCCTTTATTTCTCATCAGGTCTATTATTTGTCGAACGTTGTTTTTCCCCAACACGGCAATTTCCAGGAATATAACCTCCTTCATTCAGCGAGGTTTTCCTGTAATTCAAATTATGTAATTCATTCATTCATGGAAGTTACATCAAGTAACATCAAGTGTAAAAACTTGTTATTATGAGCGTCTTGCATTGGGATATTTGGCAAGTAATTTTGTTTTCATCCTCAGAAATTATTCTCTGTGGTTAATTAAATAAAAATGAGCTATGAAAACTTACGCCACGCATGTTACCTGGTTTTTGTATCATTGATTTTTTTTCCATGAATTTCTGAGCTCACGCGCCCAAACATAAAACATGCTGAAAGAATTGCTTCATTAAACCCAATATTGCTTAACGTCCCAGATAAAAAAACACTGCTGGTGGAATCTTTGGAAACACACTAAGTAATCGTTGCATAGTTATAAGCATAGGTTTTACCCTCTCTGGCAATAAAACAGGTATTAAGATTTCGATTTAAAAAAAGAGGACGGCTGCTTGCATTGTGGCCGAAACGTCGTGAGAATTGTATGCAATGTTTTATTTTTATTATTTTATTATTTCCCTTCTACGTGACTTTACCGAAAGAACCAAGAAGAGGTATTAAGATGTTAAAACACCAAACAGAAACCTTTTGCTAAAAATCGTGTCTGCATTAACCACATATAATTGTTGTGGACATGCGCATAAAAAACATTCTCTGATAGTATATGCATTGTCTTTGATGCATATACTACCAGATCATGTTTTGGAGACGAGGCTATAAAGAAAGTTGTCTTGGTGTGGAACAATCACTTTCAAAGACAATGCATATACTACCAAAGCATATTTTTGTTTTGTTTTGCATGTTCACCACAAGTAGTTAATGCAGACATGATTGCTTGCAAAAGGTTCCTGTTTGGTGTTTTAACATCTCAACACAACTGTTTTATTGCCAGTAAGGGTAAAATATTATATTTTGATACTGGTAAAGGAGGTCCAATGACATTGAATAGTTGTTTGCATCAGATCAAGCAAGTAAAAAAAAACAGCAAAAAAATATATATTTCACTCAATTTCCTGGTCTGCACAGATGGGTTCATTAACTGTTTGACTATAATGACATCTAGCCACCCCATAACCCTGTGGTTATGGGAGTTCCATTCAGATCTACATGATCTACCAACCCTTGCTTGCAAAGTTCTGGATCACAGGCATGCACCACCACACCATTCTTCAGATGACTACAAACAGCACCTATTGCATTCAATGCATCAGGCTAAGAAGAGAGACCATTTTCTATGGTTACATTGCAGGTGCAAGTGATTGAGGACAAGTTGGATGCGATCATTGAGCTGCACCGCCAGGCAAGGTTACGGGCGGAGGGCTACGTTCAAAAGGAGCCCACTTCCAGGGCACCTACACCAGGTGACACGAAGTTTTCGGTCTTCGCTGCCAGTCCCTCTGGAGACCCGGGCACAGACGAGGCAGATGAAGCGGTGACCGCACGTGTGAGGGTGTCATTCACAGGGAATGTGGGCACGGTGGCGCGCACGTCGCCTCCAACTGCTGCGACTACTCCGGTCACGCTGGCCAATGGGCTTGCGGCTCTCACGATGCTACCACACTCTCCCGGCCACCCCGTGCAAGACCTCCCTCCCCCTTACCCGACAACGGCACACTCAATGCCCACGATTTCCAGCACCTTGCGAGAAACGGACTCTCTGGATGATCCACCAGGTGTGTGTGTGGCTCCGCAACAGGTGAGCAAGGCAGGACATGGGCAGTGGAGAGGCCACCAAGACTCTGCACAATGTGCACCACCCACACCCCCATGCTCACACCATGCCGGCATGGTGCCAGGGCAGCTTGAAGTGACACTGTCGGGCTCCATGTTGAGCGAGATGGCGGGAATGGCGGTCTGTTCTGAGCCATCGCTGGCTGTCATCGGGGACAGTCGGGCACAGATTGGCTCGGCTGCCCCAGCTTGGTCAGGACAAGTGGCTGAGCAGGGCCCAGAAGTGAGGCCCCAGGCTGGCGGGCTGGTCACGGAGCCCAGGGGCTGCAGATAAAGCAGCGGGCATGGGGCTCTGTTGTCTCCCTCCAGGGTGGGCTCGATGGGCCAGTCATCTGTGCTCAGGGCCCACACCCGGATGGAGGTGGCGTGTGAAGGACACCCGCCCATGAGAACAGGCAGGTGGTCCGCTGTCTCGTCATTTTTATAGTGGAAGAAGTTAATATCCAAGCCAAGTGGACTGTCAAATGCACCTTACTGCTCCAAGTTAAATTGGAGTGTTGAGTCATTACCATTGCCAATTGACGGGTGTTTAAGCCCTTTCATGTACAAGGATTTAATTTTGCACTTCCTGGCCCATTGAAATACTATAGTAGACCCGCAGGTATCACAGGTGGCTGCTTTGCAGTTAGTCTTACTGTATCAGAAACCAAAGGCAGAGATTATGCACCACAGGCTTGGGATTAAATGTTTTAAGTATAATTTAGAGTACTGACTGTGTGTCAATGTACATGACAGACCTGTATCAGAAGCCAAATATGATAGTGTATTTCCTTCTGCCAAAGCATGAATATCAATAGAAACAAGCATTATGAATGTACCTACCGAATAGTATCCTGCTTTTTATATATAACCAGTGAGGTATTTAAAAAAAGGTGAGTGATGGATTTCAGTGAGACGTTAAACTATGTTATTGCGATTACAATAGTGGGTGAATGTATGCATTACTGTCTGTTCTACATGTGTGGGTTGTGTGTGTGTGTTTGTATATAATAGGGCATGGTGGTGCAGTGGTTAGCACACATCTTGGCTACCCAGTTTCAATACCTGACATCAGTATCTAAACCTGTATTATACTTCTTCTAGGTCAACATCGGAGTAACTGATAGGATATTGAATAATAACATTGGGAAGACAATCAAACATAGCGTGCTTTGCCAGCTATAGTACCCAATCACTAACAGCAGCTTGCCCCTGTGGTCTATAACGGTAAATGGAAATCTTTGATTTTACGTGTACATGGTTAATCTGGTCAAGGCCATCAAGAGGACGGGCTTTGTATTGTGCTTTGTGCCTTTTGGGGTTCTGGCTCTTGCTGGGTGAGAATACCCATGTAAAGATGTATTCAGGCACCAGAGGCATTCACTATGCACCTGTGGGTGCATCAGGGATGTTCAACATGTGTTTGTTTCCACGATTTAAGTTGATTTAGTTTGAATCAGGTGGGAACTCCAGATAAGGATGGTTCCAATGCAAGAGTGACTTGGGTCACCAGTATGACAAAGGTAAATTTAATAATTAACAGAAATTAAGCAAGTATAAATCGGAAAAAAACAACTGTCGCACGAGACATCAACGTTATAATAATAGTTTACATTTATTTGTAAGGCGCCTTTACGAATGTCTCAAGTGCACAAACATAATTCGCTGTCTTACATACTGCAAGTTGGCTTGGGTAGATTATTTTTAGACTGACCATAAATCAATTACAATTTAAGTTACAGAAACATTAAATAGATATAGGGTTTACACCATTGGAACCTCATTTGCCAGTAAAAATATGATAATTGTTTTTTACCCTTCTATCTGACAACAAAACTGACGCCTTTTTACAAGGAGTCATGTTTGCATAGACCACAATACCTGCAGTCATAATATCAGAGTTATGTTTTTTGTTTGCATTATGACTGCAGGTATTGTGGTCTATGCAAACATGACTCCTTGTAAAAAGGTGTCAGTTTTGTTGCCAGATAGAAGGGTAAAAAAACAATTATTAAGATATAGGGTTATTGTAAACTGATATATATATATATGAAATGCAATTTCAAGTTGAGTTATTAAAAAAAATCAGCTTAGTGCATCATTGTGATTTGTATGGGAGGGAAACCATTGACAATTTTGAAACGATGGAATTCCAGGTATTTGGGGCATTAACAGGGAATGACTGAGAACCGTGAATTTATTTTTTCCCTTGTTACAATGCACTTTAGTGTTGTGGGGCATCTAAGTTTTGAGATTTGGTGAACTGTAGCTATGGTGCAAGACAGACGATGACACATTGTTGAAGACTGTCTGCGAACCAAGCATGGTGGCGGTCTGAGGACACTGCATTCTGCAAATGATAAAGCTACTGCCTGGCTCTGCGCAAACACACATATATAAAAGGTGTATGCAATCAAGATTAACTTGGCCATTGCATCTCCCTCCAAGTTAAAATTCAGAGTTGACCGGTCTTGGACTAAAGATCATAGTAATTAGTTTGTAAAATAAAATGTCAGGCAGAATGAAAGCTAGGATTTAGCAAATGTAAAATGGTTTTAGAGATTGATTTGTATTTGATGTCAGCATATTCTACGATAGGCATAAAGGTAGTAGCCATCACATGTTTCCGTGTAAAGATGAGAAACAGGATTTGTTTCTTCACAAAGTCTGGATCTTTATTATTTATTCAAATTGTTTTGAGGTTTGAAAGCCAGATGCCAATATTCTTGTATGAGGATACAATTTCAATTGAACCTTAGAGGGTGGTTATGGACAACGTGCAATGCCTCTGAGCTATAGTAGAGAAGTGCCCCAGAAAATTCACACCTTTTGGGGGTTTTGCATTCAGGTGGAGTTTCAGTGCTTATTAATATTTGGTATACGATTGTAAAGTCATCTTGTAATTTTTGTTGTACATTAACTAATGAAGATCCTGAGGTATAGAGAATCGTGTCATTAGCATACATGTTATGAGATGACTATATTATCTATATAGATTGAGAACAAAATAGGACCGAGCATAGAACCTCATGTAACGCCTTTGCTGAGTGGAACGAAGTCAGAGAAAAGATTGCCCAGTTTTACACATTGTTTTTTACCATTCAAATAAATCCCTTCGCCAAGCTTACGAAGACAGCTGAGCATATTGTCAAAATTGTTAGTGATGCAGTAATGGTGCTATGCTTAGAACTAAAACCAGATTAATGTTTGGTTAAGTTTCCATCACACTATGTTGCGGGTCAGTTGTCTAAGGCGGTTTTTGTTCAGCTGGCGGCCACGGCCACACTCCACTGTTATGAAGAGATGAACTCCATCTCTGTGCCAGCACTAGAATTCTATGATAATTGTTTTATTGTAGATGTATGGCGCTGGCATGGAGATGGGAATTAATTTCTTCATAAAGTATGTATGTCACGAAAATTTCAAATCTAGATATTATGTTAAACTTATTTCGCACCTTACGTAGCCGACCATGGTAACAGTGGACCCTGGCAGTGGCGTGAGTACTCAAGCCTAGTTTTTTCTGTTTTAGACAAGATACAGAGATTAGAGATGGGCGGGTAAGTGGACGATTTCTTTGAATCCCTCCCTGGATATAAACACGGACAAATGTAAATTTCCACTCACAGGGTATTGAGTTGGAATGCACTGACACATTTAACGAATGGTGGACTGGGGACTCAAACAGCATTGTCACATTTTTTTAAATATTTGAACAACATTTGGTTCAGCAGTATTACAGGGCTTAAGTTTAGTCATAATTGTTTTTACTTCTCTTAGTGCAAATGTTTTTAAGCAAGACAAAAAGGTGGAATAATTAGGGTTGAGTGAAATTAGTTGATGAGAGATTACTTGTTTCCAAGATATTCGCTGCTTGAACAAAACGCTTGGTTGAAATAATCAACAATACTATTTTCACCAGAAATATCACTGCCATTTATAAATAGACAAGGAATAGAAGAATGAGTCGTGGCATTCTGAGGGAAGTTTAATGCAGACCAAAATGTGTTGGAATTGTCTTCGGGGCTGTCTTAATTGTTTAAAGTATTTAGATTTTTAGTATGTTTTTGTTCTGTACACGTATTTACAAAGTATTCCGACATTTATTGTTCCTTCAGGAGGATTTGATATCCTTGATATGGCTCATGCTGTGTAGCTTTATTGGAGATTGTTTAGTTCAGACGTGAACCAGGGGGTTAACCTTATTTTTACTCATTGTTCTATGAGGGGGTGCAAATTGATAATTATCATTTAATATCCAGAAATTGCCTTTAGCGAGTGGACAAGGCAGACTTCTAATGCAGCAATCCCTCGACAACCGCGAGAGAGAGGTAGGCAAATCCGCGGTTGGTAGAGTATAGGGGGCCTAGGTTAACTAAGTTACCTGTTTCATCACTAAACACGAATGAAATACAGTACATTGCACAATAAAATAATAAAACACGAATAGATAGTACATTAACTTTACATATCTTTATTGTTGACGGTAGAAGACCACGATTATGAAGATGACAATGAGATGATGGGGGAAGGGGCGGTTAGGAGGAGAGGCTCAGCCCACCCTCCCCCTCCTCTTCCGGGTCATCAATGACGGATGAGTGGGCAGGCGAGGAGGCAGGCGTGGAAAGTCAACGTTTAAATCTTGACGGAAATCTTTCGGAGGTCGTCCTCGGATCTGCCATTAACATGCTAATTTCTCACATTAACATCACTAGCCCCGCCCACTCCGTTTATGACCCTTGGGCTACACCCCTTTCAAACCTTAAAATAGTCTTGCCTCAGCAGCTTTCCTCTCTTTTTTTCCTCCTGATGACGACCGCTTGCGTTGCGATCGAAACGTCGTAGTTTTTTGTTATTTTCTTTGAATCTATCTATGTGACTTTACCAAAAGACCCATAGAATATGAACTCAACGTTTACAGGCCGAGTTTGGTAAATTGGTATTCAGATAATAAAACCGTGTGTACGTGGATTCCATGATTAGCAAGTCCGTGGTTGGCAATGGATTGCTGTATATTCAAATGAAGGATTGAAGACCAATCAATTAAATTAATTTCATCCATAATAGTTTTTTTCCGGTAAATCGCGTAAAAATATAAATGTCATTAAAATCCGCCACCACCCGACACAGCCAACTAGTAAGAGTTGTCACATAAAAAAACACGTGGCCAATTCGTAACTAGTACAGCACACCGGTGTGTTGGAGAGCCAAGCCACAACATTTACAATCTGGAGTGAGTCTATAAGTTCCGAAGATGTTTAATCCATCAATTGAAATTCTGGTCCAGGATCTTTAAAGAGAGGCATGTTTTAGTGATGGCTACAAAATTTGGGTTAAGACGATATATAATTTTAAGCGAGTTAATTTTAGGTCTCAGATTTTTTGATACAATATGATCAGTAAACTGATTAGCATATTATAAATTGTTACAATTAATGTGGTTAATTAATTCTGGGTTTGTGCCTATTTCCATTTGGATATGCTTGGACCCTTAGATGTTTAAATAAACTAAAGACGTTTAATTCTGGAATACTACCTAGAGGACCCAGACTTAAAGGCTTGTAGAAGAATATAATTGCATTTCTACTGACAATTAATCCAAGCGATTTATATATATATCGGTGGTGAGTGGTCTTCAGCCGAAGCCGAATGTAGATAAACTAAATAGGTAAAGATGGTGTAGTAAAAAAAGGGGTTCATACTAAACTATATATAATCAAGGGTATTTAGTATATAAAGTGTGTTTTATATTCATGGAAATGAAGCTAAAAACGTAGGCTAAACAAAAATGGAATTTAAAAAATAGAGCAAATCAATCCTCAGATTTCAAAGTGAGGGGCATCTTAACAGTGGTGAGGAAAAAAGGAGACAGGCAATATTCGTGTTGCAGCTCAATGTTGCAGCTCAGTGCTGGAACTCAGTCCTGGAGCTCAGTGCTGGAGAGGGCCATGCTGGCATTTCCGTACTGGAGCTCAATGAAGGAGGGAGTGGGAGGAGAGAGCCAGGCAGCGGGTAAACCCATCCAGGATATTGAAGACTGTAACTGCGGTCTTCAAAGTGAATTTCGTCTGAAAAGGGTGCACGAGCACAGTCCGCCAAACAACCACCATTACAATATGACGTCTGGTCACAACTTGTCTTTCTATACATTACCAACTTAAACTGCTAAATTACCACCACGGATATAAATACAATGTAGAAACATTTATACAATTAAAGTGTTGTCTGCATTTGTCTCGGGCAACGTACTTGTCAAGATACCCAGATTCTGGGTAAGAGGTTCAACGCAAGGAAAGGTCAGGTAACTGGGGTTCGCAAGGAACAACACAATGAAATGTGCAATGATTTGAGAGGGTCATTAAGAAAAAAATAAATGCACAATATAGGTTAATCGTAGAAAAATGAACACGGCACAATGATTTAAAAACAAATTTAAAAGGAAATCCAAGGCATGAAGGAACATATCAAATTTAATCAAAGGAAATATTTAATCAGGGCAAAAGGTACTTCTGTAAAAATCCCAAAACTGATTACATTGAGCCCAAGGCACAGACGAGAGCTTGGGGAAGTATATTAACATCTAATCATGGGCAAGGGGCATGCTGTTATTGGGCCAGAATGGTATATGGGACAAAGGGGACTCATGCATCCAAGGTTCTCACAATACCGCGTGACCAGGAAAAGTAGACAATACTCGAGTTCTCACCATTCGTTCTTGAACTCCCATACAAAGGTAACAGGAGTAGGTAGAGACAAGGTCGCAGATGCACAGTGCTGTAAATGGGGAAACCACCACAACTACATCGTTGAATGCGTGGCCCTTGGATTGCCTGATAGCGACAGCAAGGTTTAAGTCATAGTCATAGTG